CGACCACCAGTGTTTGACTGAATTCGAGTAAGATTCATTGTAATGTTATACATTTATAAAAAGTAATCGAAACGTGTTCGTATAGGTATGCATTGGGTACATGTAGTACGGTACATTGATAATATCAGTCAATCATGCGTAACTATTCTCCACATTATCGAACAGTTCAAATTATATGTGAATACTGAATCATAATGCATAATTTCCAAAGCCTTGGGAATAAAGATTGATAAGACCACAAGAAAAAAGATAAAATAGATAGAGTTTACACTAACTTCTTTTTATTAAGTGTTCTCTAGGAACTTTGCATGTCCATGATGGATTAGTATCAACAGTATGTGTTCTATTTAGTTTATCAATGGGAATCTGCATGAATCCTAGACTCATAACAAATAGTAGTCTTAAAGATAGTAGTGTCAGAATTAAAACAATTTCTAATTCTAGATTATTGATAGAATTTAAATTAAATGAAATATTGTCATTGAATTCTATTAAATATGTTCTTATGATTATAACATACCGAAATAAGATATGGTAAACAATCTCGATGAATATGAAGTAATTGTGTATTTTCACAATTATGTTTAAGATAAGCAGCAAGAGCTTGTGCTGCTGTGTAACGAACTTTTGTATCTTGATCATTTAAACAACTTAAAAATATTTGATGAATTATTTGTGTTAATTGTTCAGCTTGATTACCAAATATACCAGGAAAAGCTCTAAAAGAATAATTTTTCATTTATGAGACATTTACCTGTTATTTTTAAAAATAACAAAAATTTACTCAAAAATAATTAAAGCAGATTCTTTTAATGCACTATGTGATGAATTAGCAGATTGAAAAAGAAATTCCATAATTTCAGGCCATTGTGATTGTTCATTTTCATCTTTAATTGAAAAAGAAATATATTTGTTTTTGTGTAATAAATAATGAAGCAATTTTTTTTTCATACCCATTAAGTTTTTTGCTAACTCAGCAGCAATATAACAAACTTTTTTTCGAATAGTTTCATCATCATCTAATTGTGTTATTCGAGCAATTAATTCTTTTTTCACTGCCATTTGTTGATCAACTGAATATTTTGACCAAAAATTTTCAAATTCCGTTTGAAATAAACGTCGAAGCATAACAGCAGCAAATGAACGAATCTTAATTTAAAACAAAAAAAGACATTATATTTCTAGAAATCTCTCTTTTATTTGTAGAAACGTGCATTGGAGTCAACTAAATGTTTCACTAATAAATTACATTTAACGCAAGAGTTTTTTTTTGAACTTTATTCTTTGATACTCATTGTACGAACTGATATGTTTTCATAATTCAATTCAAATATCTTTGAGGCTAATACGCATGAGAAGATATCGAAGATTTGTAGGCAAATAAGAAAACTTTGAACGATCCTAAAAATGACTTCAATGCATGTCTCTATTTGTTTATCTTACTGGTCCATTTATTATTGTATTACGTAATGTAGACAAAAGTAAAATAGCCTTTTTTTCATGGGCGATATCTTGATAGATTTGCTAATAAGAAAAACAAAAAAATTTTTGAAATTTCATATGAAAAAATTAAATGTATTAACCTCGGCAGCGACACGTTTTTCATTATCAGCCTGTAAACATTCTTGAAGTGTAGCAAGAAACAATTGCTCTTCTTCTGGAGTTGGATTTGGTGTTGCCGTCATTTTGATGAAAAACAATGAATGAAGATGATCAATAAAAATCTACGAAATATACTTTATTTAGAGTAATTTGATTCAAATTAAATTCAAATAATAAGAAGAATATGAAAAAGAAGAATATAAAAGTCAATGAATATGTTATACAAATGAATCCTGATAAAGACTTTCAATTAAAGAATACGATCCTTTGTTTGTCCAAGTATTATTAACCAATCGTTGAAAGATAATTTCAATATTTCATAATAATTTTTATTCTCAATTGAACAACGATTTTGATAAATAAGACGAACATTTTATATATGAAACTTCGATTACGTCATTTTTTTTCACGATCGATTTGGTACAAATAAAAGTGTTTATATAATCCGAATTGTATTTGTATGACATCTATTGAAAATAGAAATCTTTGATGTTTTATATTTGCAAAATAACTTAATATTTATTATTAAGAAAAAATCAAATACCCAAGTGTATTTTGTATTCAGTAAGAAGAATATATAACGTAATTGTTGATTATACCTCATTAAAATTGAAAGATACAGAAAAATGATAAGATGTTCAAATGAATAATTATTAACAAAAAGACAAGTTTTAGGTTTGAAGAACGGGAAAAAGTTTGTAGTACAAAAGCCTATAGAGTATTATGAACACTTCTGGAGATGTGTCACATCGAGGAAATCGATCCAATATATGAACTTAAACATTATGCGATGACTATCTAAATAGGTCGTTTAAATTGCATAGGAATTTCATAAGATTTTTAAAAATGTTGTTATATTTTAAATACGAAGATTTATTTTAACGTCATATATATTTCTACTATTTAATAGCAGGCATACTCATTATTATTTATATAATCTATAGAATTTAAAAGTTTCTAGAGAAAAGAAGTAGAACAATAAAACATAGGCCTTTACTTCGTTTGAATATTATAGTATAATAACGCTAAGTCTACACTACTGTCTTCAAGAAAATTCAGTCGCTTGAAATATTTGTTGCAATGTTATAAAAAGAAACTTTTCTTGTATGTAGCATCCTATGTGTGTTAACATGAGGTACATTATCTAAAATTTCCGATTAGAATTCCACAACGTTTGAGATTAAATTTATTTCTAGTTAATCAATGTATCAAGACATTTACTTTTTTTATTGACATTGATGAATTCTTCAATTATTTTCTTTTACTTGCATATACTTATTATACTTTCGTTCGAGTCATTAAAAATAATTTTTTTTCGAGTAAGTCTGTTATTTTATCAAACAATTAAGAATACATATATTATAGATGGAATCAATGTGTTATTGATGAACTTGATATTGCAGAAGAAATTTGGTCAAGTCTATGTATAAATCTATGGTCAATTGTTTTTTTTTTTACAAATTATAGAATGATAAAAACCATATCTTATCTCTTCTGTCAACTGAAGATTAAACTTGCGAAAGATTCCTTAAGAAAATTAATTAGAATTGACAATTATCTTTTCTTCATATTAGCTAAAACTCATCATGAAGACATGAAATATACTATAACGAATATTGCTCTCAAGTTCAAATATAGTGAAATTTCTATTAATGAACATTTTTCATATATTGATATAACATGCATATCTGCTTGTGTTCTGTATTCCAATAGTTTATATAAAATAGTAATTGATATGAATACAAATGTATAGTATTTTTTTCTCATAATTGTTAGAATAATAGAAGTACATATTCATATTAGACATGGCTCCATCGAAAAATATTTTTCATACAAGTCTTTAATATGGTGATATATTTTGCAATAAGTACTCAACATCATTATGTACTATTTGCACGAAAACGATAGATGAAAAACACTTGAGAAGTATTATCGTCAAATAGTTAATAAAAATTTTTGCAAAGATAACTTATCGATCACGTCTTGTATAAATTATGACATCAAGAGTATGTTTTATGACGTGAACAATATTTAAACTTTCGATTCAGGAGGATTTATTACGTATAAGAATAAATTAAAAATGACTATATTTTTATCTCAATAAAATTATCAATCGAAAGTATTTATTACAAATAATAAATATTAATAATCGTTATTAAGTTTTCAAATAAATGTGAAATCTTCTTTATTTAAACATCTGGAATTTACTATAAATTCTCTTTGATTAATTTTATCCGTATTCTTTTAAGACTTATGTTGAACATGTGCCTCAAGAATTGTGACTAGAATTATCATTAGAAGGAAATATTCGAATATTGTACTTTTGCTTAATTAGCTTAGGAATTAATGTGAATTCGAAAGAACAAATCATAAAACAATTGAAAATAGCATGAAATAATTTTCGCACGACGAAAACTAGTAGTTTGAAAGGATCAATTTTAAATTGAATAAATTGTTTTTTGAATAATCTCCAAATGTACAAAATATTTCTTATCATTGAATGACATTCGATATTTCGCACATTACTTATTTTTATGATAACAAAAAATAAAAAGAAGATAAAACTAACAACATCAAATTCAAATAAAAACTAACGACTATTCTATATTTTACTGTCATTGAAATATAATCAAATTTCAAAGAGATAATCCATACACAGTTGAATAAATTGATTTATAGAAGTAAAATGGAAACTAAAATTTCCTTTTTTTCTTTCAATACTAACCCTAGAAAAGTGTTTTGAGAAAATTTATATAACATTAGATTGTCATATTCAAATAAAAAGAATCTATGAAAATTTTTCATTCATTACAAAGATTACAAAAATTTTAATTAGTTAAATAGAATTTGCTGATGTCAAAAAAAAAGTGTTGGTTTACAAATTTTTATATTCTGACTAAACAGTAATGTCATTTAAATTGTCTATTTCAAGCGTTTTTTTCATAGTAAAATCAAGATTTCAGCAATATATCAACTAATACTTGTCTATAAAATATGCATATAATAATTTAATCTTCTTAGCTCAGTCATATGTGCATTATTCATTTTTTAGCACATAATTAACATATGATTATCGTCCATAAATATACAAATAATAAAATGACCTCGGTAAGATCATATTTCATTTTTCAAAAAACTTCTATAAATATTCTTAAATTGAGAACAAGACATAAAAATTTAATCATTTTGGTTTATTAATTAGTTGACATGATCTTAATTAGCAACGGCATACAATTTAATATATATATATATATGTATATAGATAATGAACAAAAGACTCTGTACAAACTGTTCACTTTCTTCGTTAGTTCTTTCTTTCTTTCTTTTTCTATGCATATTTGAATGATAAATATTATCAAATAAATATGTTGTTAAATTGAAATGAAAATTTATAATAATTATGTATACATAAGTTCAGCTGCACCAGATAATGATTTTGGTAAATAAAGAAAATTGTCAAGATAAGCAGCTAATTCTTCAACATTACATGAATTAGCTGTTGGCCGTCGTGTATCAACAATCGTACATGATAATTGAGATTGTGATGGTGTTGGTGATGGTGATCGATTATCAATATTTGATTCTTCTTCAACAATAGATGGTAATATAGATTTCGTACGAAATAAAGTTATTGTTGTTGGTGATGAATAACGAATATGATGTGATCGAATATTAGATGATAGATGTGAATTACGACGAGATTGAGGAAAATGACATGTTGATAAAGAACGAAATCGATTAAGTAATGATGGAGATGAAAGAGAAAAACGCATTGAAAATGTTCGACGTGTATATGGAACTAATGAACGACAAGAGACTTTTTCAGTGTCATCACCATCGACTTCTTCTTGAACTTTTGATATTGATGATGAATTTAAACGTTTCAGACGAGAAGAACGAAAGGCTTTTACTTGACAAGAGGGAACTGAACGAAATCGTAATGATAAATTAGATGATTTAGATGAAGATCTAAACATAATGCTTTTATTAATTTAAAAAGAAAACAAAAGAATAAGATTTATGTTACCCTTGAACACAACCACCAAATGTACTCTCATCAATTAAATTACATAATTGATCAATATCAGATATCGAAGAAGTTTTATTTATTGTTTCTTTTTCTGTTTGTTCCAAGAGTTCTCGTTGATCCATTTCATAACAAATCAAAATAAATATATATAAAGAACAAAGAATTCTTTGATATTTGTCTTATTATTTTAAAATTTAACGTTAATCTAAATAAGAATTAATTATAAAATAAACTTGATTTTTCTAGTAATCAAAGGAAAACCTTCTGTTCGAGAAAGACAAAGAAAATGGGCGTAAATTGATCGATGAATCATAAACTCGTGTGCGTTTATATTTTATCCATAATGGACTTTTATCATTCCTATTTAACATGTGCCTTCACTTGTCTCACGATCGAAAGTTTTTTTTTTTCGTCTTTCGAATTTATGTTTATATATTTAGAAAACGAACGAAGAAAAAAATATTTTTTTGTTCCATTTAAATTAATATTTGAATAGATGTCACTTTTAGTTTGTAAGGCGTATTAATTTGATTAAAGCAAATATTTCATGCGCCTTGTTGAAAATATTATCTCGATAATAATATTTTTTAAAAGCCAAAACAAAAAGTATTTTTCAATAAAATAGTTGTGAATAATGTTAGAGACATCTAAGAGAGAATGAATGGTTTGTTTATTTTATTTGCCAATAAGATTTATAGAATGGTTTCTCTCGTGCGATAGATAATTGATGAAAATTCTATTGTATAAACAGACATACATGAATCATCAAATCAATATCAAATTAGAAATTCATTAATGCACTTAAAATGAAAATTATTGTGAAAGCTTCACATTAGTAACATACAAAATACATCACTTATACAGGTTATTTATAGTAAAAAATTCTTATAATCAGCTAAAGTTATACAGTTAGTTTTCATAATATCTGGTGTTTGTACTGTTATCAAGTCAATTTTGTTATATTCTTATTGAAATATCACTGTAGTGTAGCACCATCCTTTGCGCGAAATTTATCTTACTTAAAAATAAAATATATAAGTGAATAGACCATCGGATTTCATAGATATTTATTATAGTTTCTTTTTCTGATGTTTCACTCAATTCAGATGTCACTTCATGAAGTGCATTCGAAATTAATGCACATTTCTTACAACGCTATAGATCACCAGATCACGTAATATGACTTCTATAACTATATTTTCCATAATATGCTTTTAGCAAAGTAGTATATCAGAACAATACAGGTTTTATACACAGTAAAGCTGAAAAGTTTGTTTCCTTTTTTGGTTTTCTACATCGCGCTTAGGATAAAGAACTATATATGGAAAGAAGAAAAAAACATAAGAATATAATACGTTTTCTGTAGTTTCGCCAGAAAAACAAAGTAATTCAATTCTAAAAACTCTTATCATTTTTCCTATTAGACTCTTATAACAATTAGGTGAGTGTTGAAATAGTTTACTATTGATTGGTTGCAAAATAAAGTAATGAATAGTTTTTAAATTTTCGTCGATGAACTTCTTTTGTTATCAAGGATCAATTTTGTATGAATTGATTAACCATTAAGGGATACGTTAAAAACGATGATTCAGGGTTTTTTGAATTTTGCACAAGTAGGAATCAACATTCATTGATGTTTTATGCACAATTCTAACAGAAACTATAGCCGAAATAGAAGCTATAAAAAGTTTATCGATCTACTATATTGAGAGATTTACTCACTTCAATAAACGAGTGTTTTAGCTATATTCTGCTACATCAAACATTTTAAGAAAATTAAACAAAGACGAATATTATCATATATGAAGAAGGTGATCAATGAGAAAGCAGTTATTGAAGTTAGTTATAATAAAAATAAGTTCTGTTGCAGATTGCGATCATGATAATTGAGTAAATATATATACATGAGACTTTCGTTCGATATTAGCCTTATAGCTTTTAAGATAGTTATAGTTACTTTGGTAAAGATTCTATTTGAAATACTTCTCCTTGCATAAGATTTCATTTTTTTTAAAATATAAATCAACATTGATTATTCTATTAAAAATACTTTTGAAAAGATTTTTTCTTAGTAAAACATTTTTGATTAAATATAGAAAGTAATTAAAAATTGAAATTGATATCATTTTTAACATTAATTTATGTCAATTTCTAAAATTTTTTTTTTATTGATATTGAAAAAAAATAAAGGCATGTAATTAAATTTTATATATAAAACAATATGTTGAATAGTCTAAGAATAATTTGTAGATATGTTTAATTCAATAGTGGATGAACAAGACCTACAACAGGAATTTCCTCCATTAAAAAATAATTTAATACTACGTGCATGTCGTGGTGAACAAGTCGAACGTGTACCAATATGGATAATGCGTCAAGCTGGTCGTTATTTACCTGAATATTTATCTATTCGAAGTCAACATTCATTTTTTGATGTTTGTCGAACGCCATCAATATGTTGTGAAGTGACACTTCAACCATTACGACGTTTTGATCTTGATGCTGCAATTATTTTTAGCGATATTCTTGTTGTACCACAAGCACTTGGTATGCAAGTTGATATGGTTGCTAAAGAAGGACCACGTTTTGCTCATCCACTTAATGTACCAGCTGATATAAAAACATCAATTGATCGAACTAAACAAGCAAGTGTTGAATTGAAATATGTTTATGATGCAATTACTTTAACAAGACATGCACTTGATGGTCAATGTCCATTAATTGGATTTAGTGGTGCACCATGGACATTGATGTCTTATATGATTGAAGGTAATATTATTTTTATTTTTATTTTTTGAGTTTTTATTTCTTTAGTTTTTTTTTCTTTCGATTAAGGAAAAGGTAGTGAAACTCATTCAAAAGCAAAAAAATGGTTATATACATATGTTGAAGAATCTCATGATCTTCTTCAATTTTTAACACATTTTGTTATTGATCATCTTGTAGAACAAGTTTGTGCTGGAGCTCAACTTCTTCAATTATTTGAATCACATTGTGGATGTTTAAATCATGACTTATTTGTTCGTTTTTCTCTACCTTATTTACGTCAGATTGCAAAAGGAGTTCGTGACATATTATCACGTCGTCAAATTCCACATGTACCACTTATTATATTTGCTAAGGATGCTCATTATGCTTTAGATGAATTATGTTCATCATCATTTGATGTTGTTGGTCTTGATTGGACTATAACACGAAAACAAATTCGAACATTACGAGAAAAATATCCAAACGTAACTTTACAAGGAAATCTTGATCCTTGTGCACTTTATGCATCTCAAAATGATTTAGAAAGAATGATTAAAAAAATGCTTGAGATATTTGGACAGAAGAGTTATATTGCTAATTTAGGTCATGGAATTTATCCAGATGCTAATATTGATAATGTTAAATATTTCGTTGATACTGTTCATCGAATTTCAAAAGATATGATTAAAAATGAAACAATACCAAAGATGATCAATTCAAATAAATAATAAAAACTTTGTTTTTTTTTTCTCATGCATTACAATGAGTTTTTGTTTTTAAAAGAAGTAATATGATTAATAAACATCGTTTAGATTTTATTCTGAGAATTACACTGAATATTTATTTTTTCCTATGAGAATAACATATCAATACAATAGAATGAATGTCATCTATGAATATATGTTATAATTTAGTTAATTTACTTGAAATGATTTTAATTTATTTTATTAAGAAACATTTTCCCGATGGTTTTCTACTCTGTGGATGTTCGTTGAAGTCAGTTATGATTGATATGCATTCCTCATATTGATGAATCAGTTAGACACAAACTGAAAGTATTAATCTATAATATTTAGAGAATTTTTTTTTGTTTATAATGATTCTAAATTATAACAAATCATGATTTAACTTTTTAATAAATGATTAAAAAGTTTGAGAAGTTGTAAAAAGTTATTTTCGTTCATTTTTAGTTTCATGAGTATTCCATTCAGTATTATGATGTCAGATTGCCCAAATATATCTAACATAACATGAATGTCATTTGTCTTTGTATTAGATTGATAGCGTCAAAAATTCAATCTATTACTTTTTGAAGTACATTAGGGATTCTTATTGACTCATTTTCTTGAGTTTGGATGTAATTGCGAGTACGACTCTTCAGTGAAACTAAACCTACACTCACACTCTTTAATTTAGCCAATAATCGATTTTCTATACAATAAAATATCAGAGTCAAGGATTTATTCCTTTTGATATAAAATATTGCTTTTTAATGGTTCATTTTGAGAGCAATTCAATAGAACGAACCATAAGCAGTTACTGTGATGCATAATATTTCATATTGTCACTACCGAAAAATTTTAGTGAGCAACATACATCAAATTATTTTTAAGTTCGATACTAATAAAAGCTATTAAGGAAATTACGGATATCATGTTTCTTTTTGCAATTTATTTCCATCAAGTAGAGAATCAACGTTACACAAGATTTCCAAGAAAAACAAACAATTAACGAAAACATTTTTCAGCAAGAACAAAGGACCTTTCAATTCGAGTAATATTGATAATTTCATGATATGTCTACCAAAAACAAAACAATAAAGCAAAATCTTTATCAGCAATATGCATAATATAAACAGACAAGATAACCTTTCTTATGTATTCTAAGCTTGACGGAATCAAATCTGCGTCATAGAAGTACTAATGTTATTAAAGAAAAGTGTTTGCATTATACTAATATAATTCTCTTTTGGAAAATGTTTGCAACAAAGTAAAAATATCAGTCTCTGTTGAATACCACTTTATTATATCGGGCTACTAACGTCATTTATTTCCAGTGAAAATATATACACTGATTGATCATTATTTGCATTTTCTTTCTGTGAATTTACTGTGAAAATTGCGGTTCAAATTAGTCTTTTGGGACTTTTTAAGCTGACATGAACATAAATAATTTTCATATGAGCACAAAACTTGAGATTTTAAACTTACAAAGTAAAGTTATTATTTTCAATAGAGTTTCAGACAAGAGTTTATATCAATTGTGACCATGTATAATCAAATTATCAGACTAAAACTCATCACTACATCTTATTTCGATTCTTTTATTGATGATAACGATATAGCTATTCATCCAGTTTATCACAAACACTTGT